GACGAGTTCTTACAGGAAGCCCCTGGACCGTTCTTCCACAAATTCAAGCCTCCCAGAACCACAAAGCCCAGTCAAAGCGGGTCCCCACTTAGCAAGTAGGCCTTAAGTAGGATCAACTGTGGGATAGCTGCAACTAGGGTAAACGGAACCCCAACTACATCCTACTTACAAAATTCCCGAATCCTCTAAGCCCAAAGCCGTAACCCCTAAACCTGAGGTTACTTCGAGCCCCCGTTCTCGCCGAAATATCAGGTCCCCCCCCTAAACCGTAACCCCAAAACCTGACCCCCTTTCTAACCCGACCTAGTAGGGCCCCGATCCTCTAAACCCAAAGCCCTAAACCGGTCCCCTCATCATCTAAGCACGCGCCAGGGGAAAGGGCATGCCCAAGGTGCTCCTTCCTGCAGTTTTGTGAGTTATGGTTTGGGGAAACATAGAGGCTTGAATTGATTCACCTATACTATTTTGGGGGTCCCTTCAGAGAGTTATAGTATAATATACCCCAAACCCCTGTTAAAAACATCGCCCCTATATCATAATGATTAGGGCTCGAGGTCGAGGGTTGATGGTTTAAGGCTTGTTGGATTTGGGGTTTAGGGTTCAGGGGTTTTTGGATTTGGAGTTTAGGATTTAGGGTGTAGGGCTTGTTAGATTTGGGGTTTAGCATTTAGGGTTTGGGGTAGTGTGAATAGGGTTCCTTTACGGATTCCTCAAAGGGTTCTCTTACTGGGCGTTTAAGGGATCTAGAAGGGTTCGATACTGTGGGTGGCTCAATAACTGGAACTGGGTTCGGGGATACATCAACGGATATCTGGAAGTCTTCGGAATGGTATGACTTGTTGCAGACCAGGCCCACTACTCTGAAGCTGAGGCATTTAAAAATTTTCTAAACCCGAAACGGCGATCCGAAAGCCTTAAGCCACGAACGTTTAACCGCCGTAAACCCTTAGGCCCCAACCCTTGGACCGAAATATACTATACCCTAAACCCTGTATCCCCACACCCGAAATCATAAGACCTACAATCGTTAAAACCCTAAATCCTAAGACCCTCAGACCCTCAACCCCTAAATTCCTAGACCTTGTAACATGAGCTCTGAATCATTTACTATAGGGGCCTAAATAAATACCCGTACTATTTTGGGGGTTCCTTAGTAGAATTGTAGTATACTATTTTCCCAAACCCTTGTTCTAATTATTAAGGCCCCTATATTCTTCCAAGTTCCTCTGACCAGAGCCCCAATAACCCGCACTGTGAACTTCCCAAAGGCGTCACTCCTAGCATCGGGGCCTTAATGATTCGAAGATTCCTTCAAGGGCTCCTACAAAGGGCGTATAACAGGGATCTATAATATTGTTTTGGGGTCAGCTTTTGCATTACCAATTTTTCGGGCTTCTATCTTAAACCTTCAACCCCATGTAGAGACCTGCGAACAGTAGGGTTCTATGATGTTTTTCGGTCGGGGTTTGACAATGAGGCTGTGGCTAGCAAAACCCTTAAAACAACCCCATGACACAGCTCTAAGCCATAACCCCCGGAGCCCAACCTCTGTGGTGTCCGGGTTCGAAAGTCCCCTCCCCGTTTTGCCACATCCTGCGTCAAAGCTCTACGGAATAAACCCTGAACATCCCGACAGCCCAAACCCGAAACCCTAAGCTAGAAAGTCCCAAGTCTGAACGCTTGTAGCAAAACAGCGAATCACAACCCTAAACCGGAAACCCCAAATCCTAAGCCCTAAACCCGAAACCCTGAAGCCTAAAGCCAAAAGCCAAACCCCCAGACTCGAAACCTAAACCCCATAATCCCTAGAGCCAGGTGGCCCCTCGCCCCAAAGCAGCCACTGCAGACGAGGCCCGCTCGACTTGCGGAATCACAAGAAAGTTTGGGATTTAGGTTTAAGGGTTTAGAGGTGTAGGGTTTACGCCTTTGGGAGGTCTGTGGTAAAACAGGCTTTTGGCTAAAGGGTTGGCGAGGATTGGAGTGAGATGGAAGCGTGAAGGAAGAAGACGTTTAGGGCCTTGTGCTCGCTGGGTGTAGAGTGCTTGGGTTAAGGAAGGCTGTTGAGTTTCAGGCTGCTGGCCAAGACGCCGTGCTTGAAGAGCTTGGGGTTTACGGCTGCATGTTGTTCCGTTAATCCTGGGTATGGAGTGCGCTTGGTTGGGCCGAGATCTATCTTGGCGTTTGCTGTGAGTTGAGTGGTGCCAAGCTTCCCTTGAAGTCTACGATAGTAGGGAAATGTCAGTTTTGTCTATGGGCTAGATAATTAGATGCGAATAGAGCGATGATGCAAAAGAAGATGTAAGACAGTCGAGCCCTGGCAGGGACATAGACCCTGGTAGTTGGGTCGATGATGGCTTTCTCACCCGTTTCGTCAACCGCTGCTGTAAGGTCACAGATCTTCCTTTTAAGTGCTGCGTGTCACGTTGCAAGATTGGGAGTAACTCATACTCGTATATGGGCTTAAATAATTACCAATACTATTTTTGGGGCTCCTTGTTAGAATTATAGTATAATAGTATAATATACCCCAGTACCTTATGCTAATCATAAAGGCCCCTACGTTATTTGCAAGAATCGAGAAGACCGTCAGTTTAGGTTGAGAGGGGCTCACATTGTCTTCTTACATGCATGTGGCGTGCCCAGCAGAGCATGGGAGTACTTAGAAGAAGTCGAGTCCCGTTGCCCAGCCAAGTCCGGCATTTTTTGGGTTTCAGTGAATTGGCATTTTTACAGCTTGAGGCAAATTCGAAGTGCCGCTTTGCAGGGTAGACCGTAGGAGAGGGTTACTCTGGGAACCGATCCTCTCCGTGCCCGGTTGTGATGTGAGGTTTGTGGTAACCGCTGTGTAGTTATCAAGTCTAGAATCCTCCAGCCCTTGCCTCGCTCTTGGAGGGATACTGCACAAAGGAGCTTACCATAGTAGCGTTTGGGGTCACGGGTGTGGCCGCTGGGCTGCACTGATTCCTATTTAGCCTTTAGGGTCTATGCGTCACCCTTAACGCCATCACCTCTAAGCCCTAATGCCCCACAGAGAAAAAACCCTACTTGTAGAAAGCCCTCTAGACTCTGAAACACCAATAAACCCTCATGTAAGACGCTTCCTTCGCATCTCAGGCGTTCTTGAGCCCGCGCTCTGCTGAACTTGCCCGGTTTGGCAAGAGGACGCCGATGTGAGATCCGTGAATCGGTCGCTTTTCGCAAGGCCTAGGATTCAAAAGGTTTTGCAGCTAGTTTTTGCAGGTCGAAGGGTTATGTTGGTTGTGGTATCGCAATAATATCTTCGGTGCGAGTCATATGAATCCTGAGATCTCTTGCAAGTCTAGAGATGCCTTGAATCGACGACCTGCATCTCAGGGATGAAGCCCTGAACTTCCTAACTACCCCCAAAGCCTACCTAAACCCTAAACCCTAAACCCTGAACCCTAAACCCTAAACCGTCTAAGTATCAGGGGTCCCCGGCCCAGTCTGCGATGGTCCCCGCGTTGATGCTGCTCCGTGGCTCAAGCAGTTGCCTGTCC